TACGAAACGAAAAATGCCATCATCAATTTGCAACATGTTCAAAATTAAAATAAATGACAGATATGATTTAAGAAGTAACAATAACAACTATGATCTTGGAAAACCTGAAACAAATTTTATGAAAAAGAGCTTCAGTTATTCAGCTGCATCCCTTTGGAATGACTTATCAACTACAGCAAAAGAAAAAGGCATTAGCCTTAACAAATTTAAACGTACTCTTGACGGCACTTGATTCCTTTTGGTAACTTTGTAAATATTTAAATAGGATAGGATATTTTTAGATACAAATGTAGTGCATGCAATTATTAAGTTCGTTATGTTTTCTCTGTTTGTGTGTGTATATTTGTGTTATTATATTTATATAGCTTGTAAATACTGTAATAAACGGCCTCTTGAAAAACAGGTGCCTACGAGCCCTGAAGAGCTACCGTTTTAAAATATTTTTAAATAATAATAATAATAATAATAATAATATATATATATATATATATATATATATATATATATATATATATATATATATATATATATATATATATATATATATATATATATATATACTGAAGACTATTTTCAAAAAAAATAGTCGATGAGTTGACGTAAGGTAGAAGAGCGCTCAATACCATAAGTAGAGCGGAATTAATTCAGTCAAGGTTTGAATGTTTGCGTCGCTACTCTGAGTTTCACGCTTTACGCCTGATGATCGCGTAAAGCGTGAAACTCAGAGTAGTTATTCAATATTCATAATAAATATAGGTTATCATTTTACAACTTGATTAAGCAGGTATCTGGTTACATGTCAACATTTGGAAAACAAGTCAGAGCGTTTGTTCAGGCACTCAGTTTTCTTCGCTTTCATAATAAGTAGTTTCTCCTCGAGGCATAAATTACACCGTTTAGATCCTGGTTTGTATGCTTTGACTTTCTTCATAATGGACCACTTTATTGTATGCTGACTTTTTTCTGAAAGTCAGTATACAATAAAGTGGTCCATTATGAAGAAAGTCAAAGCATACAAACCAGGATCTAAACGGTGTAATTTATGCCTCGAGGAGAAACTACTTA